CAGTAATGCGTGTCGGTTGGTTGCTGTGCTGTGTGGCCCCAGTTTCAAATAGCAACTCCGTAAACTTCCTCTCGACTTCACAGTGGCCGGGGAGAAGTTCAGCTTCAGGCCACTGTATTCTGGGCAAGTTGAAATCGCCAATAAGTAGGAACATCTGACGACCCATGTGGTTGCGGACATGCGGCAACCAGTCAAAACTGCGGCTCAGTGGGCTGCGATATACCACGCCCACGAGCAACTCGCAGCGTCTGAGGTGAATCGAACATCATAACTGCTCACATAGACCATCAGTGCTTTGGTAGGCGCTCACTAGTCTCCCACACAAGGAAGACTTTATGGGAATCGCTTTCTGCATTATTGTCAGATTGACGAGAATGCAAACCAGAATTATAATAAGAGTTAGGACACTTTGATACAGGCGATCGTATTGGCCTCACCTAGTTCCGCTGATTGCATAATCGTTACCGACTGTTGTTAAACTGGTGCGTGCGACTGGTTGTGGTTGCGCGTCAGCAAAACGTCCGTACTGGCGTCCTGCTGTTACCTTACTCACTGTCCAACCATTGCGAGTTGATTGGTTCAACTTTCCGACACTTCACTAGCACAAACCGAGGACAGACTGCTGTCACTCCCATTTTTGTAACATTACAGTAATGTTCTATAGTTGTAGCTTGCGGCAGACACCCATCCATTTGTCTTGTGAATCGAGTTACACTGCCAAAGTCAGTTCCTCAGTAGTTAATAGCTGCCTCCATACGATGGGAGTACGGTAAAGATCGATCCATACTGGCTACGAGCGCTGAGTAGTCGCTTGCTGCCAAGGGCTCTAGAACGTGAGCGTCATATATATGTTGTTCACAGTTTGCTAATATCAGGCCTAGGCACCACAGTGGCGGCGTTATTCGAGTCGGCTGGTATATCTGTTGCGCTGCTACACTTTCAAGTACTAACTCCGCGAACTCTGTTTCGACCTCTCAATGTCCGAGCATGTCTTGAACTCGAGGACATTTGAAAGTACACGTGAGTGGAATATGGGCACGACTAATATGGCTTCGGAGATGCGGCATCCAATCCAAACAACGGCCTAGGAGAGTGCGATAGACCGCACGCATGAGACGCTTCTGACGCTTGTTTTAAATCGAGCACCACGGCTGCTCACATATGCCATCATCTCTTCTGCAGACGCTCACAATTCTCCCACACCGAGAATATCGGATTTAGAGCGCGGCACCTCCGCGGGCAGTCAATGGTCTATCGCAGCGGGAGCATGAGTGGCCACTGCGTTCCATTTCCTGGGTAATCATTTCGCAATTCATCCACTTCCTTGCGCGTCACACTGTATCTGGCCTCAGATGCAACGAAACCACATAACTCATCTCGCCTGTTCAGAAGATTGCAAGTATTGATCTGCGGTACGTCTGACGCCATTCTAGCACCTGTCGCGGAGTGAACAGTTAGTCTCTACAGCCCCGTCCTGAACGGAATCCAGCTTATTCTTCCCTCATGGACTACTTCCGGTTCGCAGTAAGTCGATAGATGAGAATTGAGGCTAATACTTTTGCTACTGCCAACGTCAGCCCGATATTACCAAAGTTAGCACGGTCGAAACGCCCCAGTTGCTTGGATGAGTCTCCCTTTTCCAAACCTGCTCGAATAAGTGAGTCAGTGATCTTCAGAAAACATGCTCATTCTCAAATAAAGCGGGTTCAAAAGAATCTCGACAAGCAGCTTGGAAACGATTGTGGGTTGTGATTGCGTTTCGGAGCCATGACAGCCTACCATATCTACGTAAGAAAAGCCAAGGAGCAAGGAGCCAACGAAAATGTTCTCGAAAGTGCTCCGTCTAACGACCCAGACGGCATTTCTTACTGTGAAATTGGTTCATCTCTTCCGCTTCCGGTTGTCTCACTGACGCTCGGTGTCCTGAAACCGCTGTTGCGAATAATATGTCTGCGATGATTTCCTGCTGCTCCGGCCTCCTCCATTTTCTGAGCAATTTTGGTCCACCATGCTCCTTGTAAGCACTCAGACTCCATATCATTTCGCGCCCAATGATCTGCCTAGTCCCGCATTGCTCAGAACCAGCAGGAAGTTTTCCTCTGAATTCCATCGGATTCAAGAACCTCTTGGACATCCTGTAATTGTTGTGATGACCATCGATACCGCCACAACTGGATGCTCCAGCATCGTTCATGGTGGCCCAGATACTGTTCCACTAAGGTTTGATATCTTCGGGGTCATTAGGTGAAAGCCTGGTGTTTTGAGTTTTCCGTTAATTTTGCCCGATTAGATTTCGAGATAACTCAATTGCTTGTGGAGAGCAACGTATAATATGCTTCCAGTCGAAGTCTTCGGAGAATTGGCACCGAACCTGGGCATTATCGGAGTCGATACATCGGTTTCGGAGAGAGCGATAGTCTAATATGGGCGCGCGACATTAAAAACATATGGTGGTGTGGTTTATTTGAGCCCAACACCGGCCAGCTATCACGGTACGCATTGTTTCAGATAGATACCCAACATACACCTAAGTGTCTTGGCCTAAAGGATCACAAGCTTGGCTTGTAATCCGAGGGCGCGAGTTCGATCCTGCGTAGAGGACCGAGCGACCATCGTAGTATCCTTAGCCCGCGCGGGACTGTTTGTGGTTGCGCGGCAGCAAAGCGTCGGTACTGCATACCGGCGTACTCATGATACCTGTTCCAAGTGCCGTGCTGAGCGCAAAGCTGAAACAAACGCTCACCATTGTTCGCGCTTTCGGAGTTGAGTCGAAACTTGCCACCTACCTGAGCTTCTGAGGAATTCGGACGACCTCTTTCCGCATTCATACTCACAGCAAGTAGAATGTTATCCGAACTTGAAATGTTGCGAAACAACGTGTTTATTTTGTGGTTAAAGTATTTAGTGGCTTTGGGGCTAAAGTCGGTGGAAGCATAAGCGGTGTATGGTGCTACTTCCTGCGCCAATCTTGGTTGAAGCTGTCAAGCGCGCCGCACACAGGCGACTGTTTTCTAGAACCATATATATTTATATATATTTTTGCAACAGTCTATGAATAGACATTGCACCATCGGAAACCATGGAACTCAAAACAAGATACAGAAATAGTAAAAGAAAACACAATACATCAAAGTCCACGGTTTCGTCAGAGGGCGAAATACTACCCGGTTGCCCAAGCCGAAGTAGGGTGTTGACTTAGGGGACACCACCCCGAGCCTTTGGCTGAATAGCCTGTCCGCAAGGCAGCGGAGCGAATTCAGGGAATCGCGCCCATTGGGAGCCGGTGACTGATTGATCAGTTCATACGCCTTTTGTTTGTTCCTTTGCCAAACAGGGCCCAATGCTCCCCGAAATTACAGCATCAGCTTGCTGGAATACAATGCTTCGCCAGGATGAAGCAAGGGGCAGTGACTTTATTTAGTGGCGAGTCACGTCCGCCACGTCACAGTGTTGTTAAACGGACATATGTGGCTTTTTATAGGGAGAACGCTTGCCAGGCGAAAACCCACGACGTCCTGGAACACTGCCGCCGAACCATTTGCTGGAACGGGAAAATCCCGAACCACCCAGCTGGCACCATGAGGAGGTTGTTCTAGAACCAAGTCAACCAACGATGACTTAGCCTTGGAGTTGATGCCTATGTTTACCCCATCTTAACCTGTAGTTGCTGCATAAGCATCCCCGGATACGTGTGACTAATAACGCGAATGCAAGTTGGGCTCACTTGGTTCAACAACCATGTGAGAGTCATTGTTCCTATTTTCGGACACGCAGCAAACGTCGAAACTCAATGTGTCCGACTTGCATGCAAATACAGTCTACTGATCTATCTCTCTTTGGGTACGAGTCACCTGAAAAACAGCATAGCATGGCCTCTGTAGGGACTGTTTTCAATACACGTCCAAAGGATGTTGCTGGGACGTGGCTGCAGATAGAACTCTAATGGCAAAGCAACCACCGCCTGTTACGCTGTGAATTATGGAATGAGGGTTAGTAGTGGGGAGTCGGGGGAAGAGAAAACGGATGGAAAAGAATTAAGGGAGGCACCTGCGGTAGCACGTTTTTGCTTCTTTGCCTTGCTGTATGCAACAGCTAAGGAGATGCGCGATGGATGATGCAAGATTTATTTGAATTTCGAGGAAATAGTCACAGTTTTCCGTTGGCTGAGATACTGTCAGGATGCTCAAACCCCGACAGGAGAGCGATTTGTGTCCTCAACCAAAGCCCTTAGCTCAAAAACATATCGGTAAGGCAGCAGAGAATGATAGCAATCCGGTTTTACAGAGATAAACACTGACCCATTTTCAATTCTCAACCTGAAGTATCAGAAGGCTGAGGTCGTCTTACATGTAACCACTAAGCAACCGGGTGGAATTAGCTCTCAAATGGGTACTATTCCTTGGACATGTCCTAGTCTAATTGCGTACCATGAATATGAGGAATTCGACAGTCACTTCGTATTGTTGACGTTAACTATCTGAATGATAGTGAAGCATTTAGGTTTTAGTTGCACTACCGGACAACTGAGACGCCCGTCGTTCCATTTTGACCGCTGGTCCTGCGTTTACGTTCATTATTAGAGAGCGCTGATCCACCACTGGTCTGAAGACTTTGCGGTGAGAAAGTGTGTGCTTTCTTCTCTGTTATCCGGTATAGGTTACCAGGCGTCGCATTTGTTCCTTGCCTATTATTCTTTGTCAACTATTTCTTGCTTTTTGTCCGTGATCATGTCTCAATTACGACTCAGATAGAAAGGTGCTGGAAATTTCATTAGCACTTTGACCAACCTTGTTGTTGATGAACCTTTTTCACTGCCTTTCTGTCGTACTTATCACCGACGTTTTCACAATATTCTGCTTTTTTTCTCCATACTGAATAAGTTATCTGCATTTGTCGCCTACCACTCAGTCTGCGTGTTTGAATTTTTTTTAATACTACTACATAGCTTTTTTGCCTTAAGTACAAATTTCTTACCGCTGTTTTTCGTTCATCGTCTTGTAGCATTTCGCCCATGTCGCAGCCACTTACGAATTCTAACATCCCTCCGGAATTACGATTAGATTTTACCAGTCTCGCTGAGGATATCCTAGCCTTGCAGTTCGACGAACTGGCCACGACCAATATTGATAGCGGGCCGGATCCTGCGCTCGACAACGTTGCACTTCCTGCTTCCTCAAGGTCAGCGACCAGTTCGACCGCAATAACTGATCTCATTCGCCGGTTGAATCAAGCTCGTGAGGACGTGCGGCGTGCCGAGGCAGCTGTCCGCAAGTTAACAGCCTGTGATCTGGACTTAGAAGCCCAACAGAATCTTTTACTCGCTACGTCCACATCTTGCATTACAAAACGCCAATTAATATGCTTACTGAAACGGGAGCTATCCAAATTTTCCAAGGATACTTCGTCTAACTCCTTTGATTCTCTCTAACGTTTCGATGAACTAGTTCCTGCTGTACATGGGATCTATTCCCCTATTACATCTTATTTCACACTGCTCTGTATTTTTTCTACACTATTCCGGCTTAGTGTGTTTGCGACGAATCTCTTACGGAAATTTACTCCCTATCTTACATTTCACTATCCTCCTAAATTTCCGTATCGTCTGTTGTTACACTTAATCGACTAGTGTCCACTAACGGAATAGCCTCTTTCCCGATCGTGAACTGCACGCTGTTTCCACACCCAAACGTAGTAATTTCCTCTGCTCCCGATGTGTTTATGGATTTGATTTCTATCTTATTAACATTCTCAGGTTCAAGTTTACAGCAGCTACTTCTCTTCAAATATTTGTTTGACCTGCACAACCCAAACTTTTATTCCCATTCTTTCAATTTTACTGAGATTCCATGTGGTGCATACCTCTGCATTTTGTCCAATATTGCTCTTTAGTGGTCACTCTGGTTACCAACTTATGTCCGAGTGGATACTTGGATACAGTTTATTGACACACAAATCTGTTGTAAGGCATGGGAGACGGACCACCCCAGCGTTAATCGCGGTCCTCTGTGTTCATGTGGAAGAACTTTGAGAGGATGACGATTGAACGAATTGCTGCTACCAGTGTCATCATCAACAACACTACATCAAATCAAGTCAAGGTAAGCTTTATATACCCGGATGAGCGCATTTTCATCACCTTACAGTGAAAATGAAATGAAATGAAATGTGTCAGCTTATACACCGTAACGACGCTTCGCTGCCGCACGACCACCACTAGTCGCGCGCGGGCTGAGTATACCGCGAGGACGCCCACCCCTACGCGGATTCGAACCGGTGACCTTATGGTTGGAAAGCAAACGTGCCAACCACTCGGCCACCGGCCGATGAAGTAAAATGACATCTTCAAAAATACATGGATAAAGTAAAGAGACAAGTGTGCAATGGTGTCACGCGAGTAAAAGGACCCGCATTCTTGTGCATTGCACACAGTGATAAAAGAATCCTCGGGGTTTTTTCTAGCCATCAGAGTAGTTTTGTGACTACAATTCTTCATAACTGGATTTTTACTTAGCCCAAACGTTCGTGGACAAAAGCAGCAAATCGCTAATGTCGCGCAGGATCACAACTTAGTATTCGAAATATGGATAGTAAGACGGTCTTGGTGATCTTGGAAGTACTTTGGGCAACAACAGTTGTCAACCTATTCCTTCTGAACCTGTATATCCGCAACAGGTAAAGTAAAAGTGTGGTTCAATGAATAGGCAATGGCCGATTCAAAGTCCTCGCCCGCTCATAGTTACTTTATGTTAGTGCTTCACTGTTGCTACCGTCTCAAGCTGCGAGAAGTAGCCCTGCGTATGAAGCATGAAAACAGGATTGCAGGGGATTCGCGTCATTCGCTAGCGCGATCAGGTCAGGTTAGGTTCCAAGGACGATACAGACCGCCCAACAAGCGTCCTGTTTCTTGCACCGGTAAGTGAACAACCGCCCCGGCCTTTCGACTTCTGATTTACTTCCGCGGCTTCTGCATGCGATTGAAGCAAAAATAAAAGCATTCTCTGTACTGTCACGCAGTACGAGGGTACAGCAACAGCCCAACTGTATCATATTTAAGCTTCACGATAAACACAAACCTTTCAGCTGGACAAGATTATCATATTTGCGTTGTCCGTAGTTATGAGCTTGGAAAGGGATGGCATTCCCTAGTATTGCTGAGTATGTTCAATCTATCCATGAACACCCGCACCATGACAGCTCGGTGGAAAGAAGACATAGTTGTGCAGCGACATAAATCAGACTGTTTGCTCGAGCTTGACATTATCGCCCAATAAGCCACACATCTGTCCTACCAAAAATGATGGAGCGACATTTCAAAGCTGAAGGTGTCAAATTCCTACTGTCTATAATGCTAATAAACAACTCTCAACACGTCTTCTTGAATAATCGATCTTTCAAACCGTGCCACCTGGAATTTCTAAACCACATGATTGCCTTATGTGGCCTTGATATGTCGGCAATTCTAATTTACCTCGACACGCAAGAGGCCTTTAATTGAGTGCCTCATGGGAAACTAATAGCTACTATGGGGTCCCACGGGATGGGTGATCCCCTGCTATCTTGGTTCAGGACTTGCCTTACAAATCGGACGCAGGGGGTAAAAATTCGAGAATACAAGTCTCAACCTACACCTGTCACCAGTGTTGTGTACAAGGACGTGTCCTTAGGTCGTTACTGTTCTTAATCTGTCAATGAAATCTTCAATACACTATTTCTGTTTACCTGTGACATGAAAATCTTATCAACTTTCCTTCCGAATGACTCCAATGATGCTGTCAACATGATCCAACTTGACCACCATGCGCTTGAAATTTCGAGCTAGAAGTGGAAAATGTCTTTCTCTACTGACAACTGTTGTGCAATGTCCCACAATTGCGCTTTGCGGCTTGATTGCAAATCACTTACTCTCTTTCCTACGGTAAGAGACCTGGAATTGCGATATTCATGCTCACCTGACTTCTGTGAACAAGTAGGCTATTCCACCGCGAGAGTGAGACAGAAAATTGGATTTGTAATCAGGAAATTATCCTCACATGAATCAGTACTTCATTCTTACAAATCCGTTGTTCAATCCACGTTGGAATATTGTTCAATGGTTTATTGCATCTCAAAAAAGCGCGACCGCGTTACGTTGGAACAAGTATAGAGAGCATTCTCATAGCACTCATAGTTGCTCCTACAAAATTGGAATATTGTGGACGATGTGATAAGCTCCAACTTGATCCGCTCTGGCTACATCGCATGAAGCACAACCTTGCCATTTTCTTCAACATCTTTCACATAAATATGTATGTTCCCAACCTCAACAGGATATTAATGCAGTCACACGAAACAAACAACTCAGTGGCCAAATGCAAGTCTGAGATCATCAAGTCTGTCAACCTTTTCCTTAACAGGTACGCCAAAGTCTGGAACAAGTCGCCGCCCAGAATCCGTGGCTTCACTCATGTACACGACTTTCGCGAAACCATCCACAACTTGTTGACTATACAAAGCGTGATCGAACTGTTTGATTTTTCTTTCATCGTTGCACATTAGCTGAAGATGAGAAACATGCTTCAGCCAACTGTTCTGCAATGCAAAAGATAAGATATATGAGAAAGCGAGATACTAAACATTAAAGAATACCTAAGCTAAATAGCAAGTAAACTACTGCTAAATGTAATATTATCCATGCAGTGTAAGATCGTTGTTGGATGGGGTATTTAAAGAGGAGGGAGATGAACAAAGAAACTCGCAACACAAACCCCCCTTGGGGCCACTTTTTCAGCATACCAGCAACTGTATCCAACCAAACGCGTATAAGCAGTATCTAAGCAGGATTATAGACTGCATATCACCGCACTGAAGATGGCACCTCGCATTGTGGTGAAACGTATGCTATCCCTTTATCAAACTCGGAGAAACGATCAACAGGTGCGCAAGCAACCCGGGCTACCAGTGTTCATTGTCCTTCGGTCCCAAGCCCGGCAGTCGGGATGCACCAATCGACGCCAACTTCGAGATGAAGGACCTCATTCCTCTCTACTAACTCATCGCTTGGACTCCCTTCCTACTCTTCCATCCATACCCCAAGCGCGCAAACAACGCACTATGCGGAAGTCAGTATGCTGGCATGCGCAACGCTTGGCCCAGCCGTCAGATCCTAGTGTATATTATAATGGTACTTAGAGGTTCACTCACCCTTCCTTTACTAAATACACGACGCCGAACACGCTCATTGCTCACGCAGTGTTCCCACCAGACATGTGCTAAGCAGTAAAGGCAGCGATGGTCGAACGTCTCTTTATGTGTGTGAACCTGATGGGCCAAGTTTCACAACCGTTGATGAGAGTTGAACGGACGGCTACATTGTAAACTCTGCCCTTTAGGGCAAGAGAGATGTCGCGTCGGTGCCCAAGCAGGCGGAGATTGACAAAAGCACCTCGTGCTTTTGCTATACCGTTACTAATATGGCTGCCCAGGTACTTGAATTCCTGAACGACTTCTAGCTGATCACCACCAATGGTCAACGCATGTTTGGGTCCCTGCAACCCTTGGAGAATTACTGCGTTTCGATGGAGCAAAGCATAACCCAAAACGATTGATAGTCATTGATAATCTGTCCAGTTATGCTTGGCACGTTTGGAACCTGTTACGGATTAGGACAATGTCTTCAGCCTACCCAATAAGTCGTTCACCAAAAAGGAGCTCCACACTTTGTATGTCATGTCCAGCGAACGCTGTTTCCACGACTTCCTCAATATCGAAGTTAAAGAGGAGAGGAGACAGCGGGCATTCTTGTCTCATGCCGCTGGAGATATTGAATAACGGCGGCATTTTACCATAAACCCTTACTGTAACCAAACCGTACTCTGATAGTGCTTTGTTTTTTATCGGGCACCTTTCCTCAGTAGATAGTCCCATTTGGCACATTGATCCACAGAATCGAGGACACATTTGATGTCGAGAAACATAGCAACCGTGGGTCGTCAATAAACAGCTGTGCCCCAACAATTGACGCAAAGTAGGGATGAAGCCGATGCAGCCTCGATTTCGACGAACCCCCGGTGGCTGCTCACGAATCTGACTTTCACGAATGCCAGTCAGTCTGAAGATGGCGGCGAACGCAAGCAGTTTAAAGGCAATTGAGATCGGACTGATCCCTCTATGATTGCTGCACTCAGAACGGGAGCGTACCTTGATCATTGGGATCATGACGGAGCGGCTCCAGTCTGTTGGGACAGTTTCCTGCTCCTAGACCTTCGCTAGTAAATTGTGCAAATCATTTACAGAAGCAAGTCCCACTAATTTGAAATGGGTTGGGGGAAGTCAGTCTGCCCCTGTGCCATTGCTCACTTTCGGCAATCTGATTTTGCGTTCACCTGTGCATGAGGAAGGATCCAAGGAGATGGCCCAGAGAGAAGGATGATCCATGCTCGAAAAGATGGTAGTAACTCAGTTTCGTTAAACTCCTTTGCAAAGTGTTCGTTCCAACGCTTCAAGCGTTTTGAAAAACTTTGGATTGACTGTTCATTCTCCTCACGTGTGATCTCGCTAACTCAAGTCGTCTGCTGCCAGTTTCCCCTATCAAACGTTGGTTACCAACGGTAGCGGCTGTTTCCATCTGCGACGCACCATGAGACTACCAGCATTCACATTCTCTTCTGGCTAGCACACAGTTTTTCCCTGAGATTTTTGCGAGTCTAATTGTGTTCGCTTCTAGCCGGTATACGTCGGCGAGAATCCTTAAGTTCCAGTGACTGTGTAGAGACCCAATATCTAAATTGACAATTTGATTTGCCACATGAAGACATGTCTGCTGATTGTGACGTCTGGCGAATATGCGTCAGTGGTCTTCAGCGGTGTTCACTGGGCACTTACTCAGCCCGAATACCAGCGTACTTTGATAGGCTTTCAGAACAACTGGCTTCGCCATTTAGCTGGTGTCTATACGCTCACAGCGCCATTGCGGACGTCCGCCGATACGTACCCGAAGTTCAGCACATACAGGAGCGTGATCGAAGTCCACCCTCGTGTTCGAAATCAAGCGATAGCTTTAGACGCAACCTCTTCAGTGGTAACTGACCACGATGTGATCGATTTGCGTCAATGGCTGGTC